TGTCAAGTTATCAGTGTGACATCCCAGTTTATGTATCAACATTATGATGTCACAACTCAGTTGACCTATTAAGGAAACCTTTGTTACTGTTATGGTAATAATCTGAAATACTACTGCAAGTGGAATTTATAGCAGCTATTTCATTCAATATGAAAACTAGACCTGAAAACTTTGTTCTACTGTATATAATATATGCTAGTGATATTAATTTTAAAAGTATTGTATTGTATTTTGTGCAAGTGTAGTATTGTTTGAATGGAATTTGTATTTCGTGACTGCATGATTATTCATTATGATCATAATGACATTGTAAAATTAGTATGTTAAATTCTCTTTCTCCTGTTTACACCCCTGATAGATGTGTATTATGCTTGATCTTAATATCTAATTTGCTATTATATAATAAGTGATGAAATATATTTCAATTGTTCATTGGTGTCACAGATGTACATCTGTCTAAACTACAACAGCTACAAAATACAGCAGCACGTCTTATCTGTTCTATCCCTAAACATGATGACATCACTCCGACTCTCATCAAATTACACAGGCTTCCTGTTCGATTAAGGATCAAGTACGTTCAAAATTGCCATGCTTGCTTTTAAACGTATCCATCAGTATGCACCTCTCTATCTTGTCAATCTTTTAAAAGTAAGAAAGACATCGTGCTATAGTCTAAGATCTAACGAAGGCACATTGCTTGAAGACTATAGTACAAAAACAAAGAAAACACTCGGCGACAGAGCATTCGTAACCTCCACTCCAAAAATTTGGAATGAATTACCTATGTATATAAGAAATCTGCATAACTTTAGTATTTTCAAGAAATTAGTTAAGACTTACTATTTTCAAGAAGCCTTTAATGTAAATACTTCATGTAACATATAATCTATATAATCTTGTTTATATTTTTTAGAATAATTTTAGTGTAATTATGTTGTGATGCGCATTTGATCATATACTATAACATGTTAATTTGCACAATATAAATATTGAATATTATTATTATTATTCATGTCCTTTCAAGAAAATACTAAATGTGACTCCAGTTTTGCGCAGATACATGTACGCGTAGCGTACCTATTTTTGTAAAGTACAGTCAATTTACATCCAATTCGTTTGAGAAATTCTTTAGAAAACGCCAGAAATGCAGTCCCAGAGTTTCAAAAATTTAAAAATTATCCGGGGGAGGACCCCAAGACCCCCTTTTTCTACCGAAACTTAGTATGACAGTGCAAATCATCACAAATTGGTAAATTGGTAATAGTTTTTGAAGTGTGCATGTGTCTCTCAATTTGCTCGTCGTCCACCAAACGACGACAACCTCGAGTTTTACCGTCGTGGATACAAGAGCATAACAAACGGTAATGGATTCACACGTCTCTTTTAAATTCATTTTCAAAAGGATGTAAATATTTATAGTTAAAAGTATTTTCTGCACCTTTTGAAAAAAAAGAATGTGATTAAGTTTATTTATTTAGGACGACGTGCTAGTTCCAGTCCTCTGCTTAACCCTGACGTCCTACTGACGTCGACGTCGTAGATCTTAAGCTATCTAATAACTGAAGTCTGTCAGACCTGCTGCAAGTTGTCATCGACAGACTTGTTGCAAGTTGTCATCCACAGACTTGCTGCAGCAAGTTGACTCATCCACAAATTGCACACATCATGATCAACAGATTGCAAGTATAATGGAATTAATCGCCAAAACAAGATGAATCGCAGCAAACCCTATTACGAGCAGCCGAACAGGAAGCCAAGATACAAACATTGACGAGTGAAAATATAAAAATGGCGGCTGAAATTCAAGCGCTAAATCTCACAGTTGAAGAATTGTCCAATGATAACAATCACATCCAATGTATCCTCGATTATAAACAAAATGAATGGACAAAATTAAAATAGAGGAAAAGAAGAAAGTTGTTGGCAATGCTGGGCAAAATACCTCACAGATTACGACAGAAGTAACTCAGTATAGGCTAAGTACCGAAATCCCTTCACAGTTCTTCATGACCAGGCTGATTGATTGTAATAAAGAGAATTCCCAGGAAGAGCTCGAGGAAAGGAAAGAAAATGAAATCCATCACCGCCGCCCGAAACAGAATCTACGATTTGATTCGAAAGAAAAGTCTGTCTTCTCAGAAGAAGAAACCTAGTCATCACGAACAAGAAACCAATTCCAAACCAAACGACAAATCGGTCTAGTAGTTGGAGATTCAATGGTGAAGAACACCGACCAAAGCAAAATTGGAAGAGCAGCGAGATCCAATGCTACTTGCCACTCCTACAGTGGAGCAACTGTGGAGCAGATCAACGAGAAATTGGAAAGAGATGGAAATCATGAATTTCACACGGTCATCCTTCATGTGGGAACGAATGACCTTGTTCGCAAAGAACCAGAGGAAGTTGCAACAAATATGGAAATCCTGATAAACAAAGTGAAAGCTGGGGCAAAGGAGATAGCTGTGTCTTGTGTGGTAAGAAGAAATGATGGCGTAGATAGATAGATAGATAGATAGATAGATAGATAGGTATAATCAACTATTGCATGATTTAAGATAGATAAGTATAATCAACTATTGCATGATTTAAGCTATAAACATAAATTAAATATCTTTTATCGCTTCCCTACATATATTAAACCACCATCGGCAAACTGTTTGTCAGGTTGAGCTCGGTTTTCTGTGCTGCCGAATACGACGAGACCAGTCAAAGCCTTTATGGCATAATTATGGCTTATGTGCCCGGTTGTTGGCACATAGCCGCTTTATTGTTTTAATCAATTTTTAATAATTAACAAGAAAAATTATTAATTAATAACTATATAACATTTAGCACAGAAAAGGTGGGGGCATTACTAACGCCCACTACACATAACGTATCTATATAAGTTCAACATATCGCGTCCAACAACGGGGAGGAGGGTGGGTAATTCTCTTCTATCCAATTTCTTGATGTGAACTGCAGGCCTCGTGGAATAGGAAAGGACAGATAGCCCGCTTCACCACTGATAAATACCGAAATTTCCAGTCACGTGACTATACCTAAATTAACTTGCGCGCGAAAATTACTTATTTCGCATAATTAATTTCAACCATAAATTATTCCGGGAAGCAATAAAAACTCTTATCGCTGTGGCAATAAGTTCTTTTATCGCTTCCCTACATATATTAAACCACCATCGGCAAACTGTTTGTCAGGTTGAGCTCGGTTTTCTGTGCTGCCGAATACTACGAGACCAGTCAAAGCCTTTATGGCATAATTATGGCTTATGTGCCCGGTTGTTGGCACATAGCCGCTTTATTGTTTTAATCAATTTTTAATAATTAACAAGACAAATTATTAATTAATAACTATATAACATTTAGCACAGAAAAGGTGGGGGCATTACTAACGCCACAAGTCTCCTTGGGATAAAGGAGACACACCCCACCCCAACATGACAAATCGTTTGCAGATGATCGTGAAAAATATCTACATATACTGATACCACATGTTACGAAAACCTCAATCTATGTCAGTTTCACTGCACATGCTATTGTCAGTCAAAAGCAATGAACTTGCACTGGTCTACATAATAGCAGTACTATCAATTACCTAGTTGACTATATACTATATACAAGCCTCTACTGAAATAAATATGATCAGCTGAAATGTGAACTTTACCCCTGTGTCAGTTCAATATCCAACCGATCACGAATACGTGTCGCCAGATGCGATAAAATACCAGTTTCTAGCGAAATAACTATCATCAGCTGAAATGTGAACCTTACCCCTGTGTCAGTTCAATATCCAACCGATGACGAATAAGTGTCAAGAGGCGATAAAATACCGTATTATACCAGTTTCTAGCGAAATAAATATCATCAGCTGAAATGTAAACCTTACCCCTGTGTCGGTTCAACGTCCAGCGATGACGAAAAAGTAAGATAAAATACCTAGGTAATCGCCAGTTTCGGGCGAAATAAACATGCATGATCAGCTAAAATGTGAACCTTACCCCTGTTTCAGTTCAACATCCAGCCGGCAATGACGTTTGCGAAAAACAAAACATTTGTTGTACATACTGTTATTAACAAACTGGATAAATTAAATTTAGAAACGTGAATTGAGGTTATATATATGATAGTCGATCCGGAATGACTGTTGGTGATGAATGAACATTGGCCGATGCAAGCTGTGTCAACGTAGAAACCTGTATCCGAGATACAGGATTCCCTGAAACACTTTTTAATCCCGATATGTGCCGCGAGTATACGAAATAAAGGTATACTTAATGCTATTAATTAAAAACAAGCAAGCACCAGTTTACGTACAAATATCATAACAGTCGAATCCCAAAATGGAACCGAATAGCCTTATTATAATATCAACCAATGCAGCATCATCTGTTAAGAACGTTATACGCTGAATTACCACCGCCTCGCAAATTGCCGAGTGCGAATAGGGTATAGCGACTATGCTGGGCCGATCGGATGCATTTTGTAAGATCGTATTAAAGATCAACAAGACGCCTGCTCAGGCGTTCACACTGACCTGAAAATGACGACATACGAGCTACGGTGCAATAGACAAGAATACAAGTCGTGAACCGCAGACGCAAAGCGTGAAAGGCTAAAAGCTCGGCTAAAAGCGTGCCGTGATCCTCAGGAGATGTTTTCGTAATGCCCAATAAACACACAAGTATTACTCACAAATACAAACGTTATCCACGAATGCACATGGTTTAGCTCTGAGCATGCGATGCGCTAACGCAGACAACATTGTTTACATTCCGTCCAAAGGGGCCGAAGTTATGTTCGACGAAATGTAGGGCTAGTTTACATTGTTCATTATATTATGAAATATAATACCATACCTTACTTAAGTTAAAAGTAATGTTATTGTTTGACGCAACAAATTTTCAGTAACACAATAAAATGTATGTTTCTTGTAGTTATCAGTAGCAAGTAAATGTTTTCGCGTTTTGTATAGATGTATTGTATGAGGGTAAAACGTCTTAAGTCGATCAGTAGCAGGTTTATTAACTTTGGACCCATCACGGATGTCGCGCCATTGACTGTACATTACGGATGCGCGAATGACTATATGTGTATTGCATATGATACAAACACATTGAGTATACAATTCTACTCTGCGCATACAATATTTTGTAGTCAAATTGTCAAAACTTTAACTTGTCCTTGTTTATATTCCATTCTATTGTATAAATTCGCGGGGTACAAATCCCGTACAATATTACAAAGAAACGGTGAAATGCTAAAAGCGTGGCGTGATCCTCAGCAGATGTTTTCGTAATGCCCAATGAAACACAAGTATTACTCACAAATACAAACGTTATCTATAAATGCACATGGCCTCTGATGGACATAGGGACTCAGGAGGTCTGGAACTGGTAATTGTGCGCGTGCGTACAAGTGTATGGGCTAATAAAGTAAGATGTACCACAAGCATGGCATGAGCCGGCTACTACGTACATAAATACGGACCTTCACAGCAAAAAATCATTTTCTTATTTTAAAAAAAAACAAACTTGTTTTAAGAAAATTTTCTTGAAATAAGAAAATATTTTCTTGGGAGAATAACAAGAAAATTTTCTCAATAAGAAAATTTTCTTAAGAAAATTTTTCTTATTAAGAAAATTTTCTTGAGAAAAATTCTTAAATTGAGAAAATATTTTCTTATTTTAAGAAAATATTTTCTCAAATCAAGAATTTTTTTTTCTTATTAAGAAAATTTTCTTGTTATTCTCCCAAGAAAAAAGTTTTCTTGAAATAAGAAAATTTTCTTAAAGAAGAAAATAATTCTTATTTTAGAAAATAATTTCTTAAAACAAGAAATTTTTCTTAAAAAGAATTTTCTTATTAAGAAAATTTTCTTGTTATTCTCCCAAGAAAAAAATTCTTGAAATAAGAAAATTTTCTTAAAATAAGAAAATAATTTCTTATTTTAAGAAAATAATTTCTCAAATCAAGAAATTTTTCTTAAAAAGAATTTTCCTATTAAGAAAATTTTCTTGTTATTCTCCCAAGAAAAAAAATTCTTGAAATAAGAAAATTTTCTTAAAATAAGAAAATAATTTCTTATTTTAAGAAAATAATTTCTCAAATCACGAAATTTTTCTTAAAAAGAATTTTCTTATTAAGAATGTGTTGTTTGGGTGTTTATATATGTACAGTTACTCAGGTGAATATTGTTTTTGATGATACTCTGAGTGTATATGCAGTTAGCAGAGCATTAGACTACTTGCGGGTTCGATTCTCACAATGGTCAGGCTAACTTTTCAGCCTGCCCGGTGTGGATATACACTCAGAGGAACATACAAAACATCAAATTATAGTCAATTTATACAAGTTCTTTTTTCAGCCACTGTTATACAACTAGGTGTAGTTCTGATTTCACAGCAATGTGTTGTAGCAAATTTAAGTTCTCCTGAAGACCTGATGCAGTAATTTTCCAACTTTTTCCACATGACAAGCAATATTATCTGACCAACCGTTTGTTCAAAGTCCATAGATTTCTTTATAATGCACATTAAACACTGTTCCAAACACATCATGCAAATGCCACTGGAGATCCATCATATATACATCCTTATACAGCTAGTAATCTGTAAAAGGAAAAGTTTACTTATATATTGAGAATGTAATCATCACTCTAAGTATTATATGTGGTGTATACAGAAATATAAATGAATTTATTAGCGATTTTCAGCAGACTTTCCTGCTTGTATTCGACTTTTCTGCTTTGCTTGGGGGACAACCTTAATTGAAATAGCTATACTGTATCTATGCAAAATTGCAAGAACAATAGACCTGGAGACTTGCTTGCTAATCTGAATCACTCCTCAGTTACCTAAGTTAACTAGATTATAAAGCATAGACGGATTGTAATAAAAAATAATTAAATAGTCCACTCCAACATGCAGTGTTGATGATATAAAATAAACGTAGGAGTACACTCAAATAGAAAAAGACAGTGCATTCACTGGTTTATTGGAGCAATTGTAAAGTTTTGAAACACTATTATCTCCCCTGAATAGAGTTTGCAGTGCCTTCTCATGCAAATAGCTTGCTCGGAAGGAACATTTGGATTTTTTATGAACATTATTTTTAGTTTTTAATTCTTTTAGAAAATAGACTTGCCTAGATTTAATCTTTATGCCCCAATTATTATTTACATCGGAGTTGCATCATAAAATGTATTCGGATTCAAACGACACAATGTCAATGACTTTATAAAACTGGTAAAAGCATATTGTGTATTGGCCTATTAGGTTTACACTTTTACAGGTTCATTTAACTTTTAATTAACTCTCCCAAGTCTCATCAGATAATCGGACATGCCAAATCTATTGATATGACCACTTCAAAAAACTCTTTTCAAAGCTAGGAATCATGATTTTTTAAAATTTTTCCAGGGATACTTTGTTTTCTGGTCTCTAGACTCCTCCTCACATCTCTAGTGCTCCACCTCTAGAATATAGATTACCTTACTGGGGTATGGCGACACTTTGTGTTGCTTCAGTCACCTGCTCACAGCTCACCCCCCCCCCACCCCCCCCTAAAATTTCTGGCACTGCCCCAGTAAAAATATGAAAATCTGTCTATGTTAAATTAAAAAGATAGATCAGTATTAATTTTATGACTTATTATTTATAATATAATTCATTTATAATATAATTCATTAATATAATTAATTTAATATTATTTATAATATAATATTCTTATCTAATACAAAGCGTTTATTGTTTAACCCATTAAGCGCCAGCGCTCTCCTCTTGACAAGTAAAATCGTCTGGCGTTAGACAGAGTAAAATACTAAAGTAGGGTGCATCAGGGTGCAATGCAACTCAATGGGTTAATGTTATAATCAGCCAATCACCTGTTCATATTGGTAGAGTATTAAACTACATATGTTTTATATAAATTTTATTAAGCAGAAACATGGCTGTAGGCAGATGAGATGTCCTGGATTCAGTTATCATTTTCTTGTGGCAAGTGCCCAGTAGACTATTAACCTTTAGTCATGCACCAAAGCTGCAATATTAAATTAAGAAATGTAATAATTTGTCCAATACCATATCACACAGCTACTGACAGTATAGTTTACTTCCGGTTGCTGTTCATGGTTCTTACCAGCTGTATTTATGGAAGCTGGGCTGGACCGCTTAGCGGGACAGCCCGGTAAGCGAGATCTTACTGCATTAAGTATATTTATTTAGAAAAAATTATCATGTGTTTATATGGATCCACAAGCAGACTGGCTCTGATGCCACAATGTTGCTTATCGGGATGAAAATTTCTCCACATATACACTCACAAGCAGGCTGGGCCAGGATGAATGTTCAAAGATGCCAAGCTGCAAGCTATTTTTAACAACTGTCAAAACAATGTCAACATAACAAAATTGGCCCGGCAAGCAGGATGGCATTTTCTCATATAAACACAATCTTGAACTGTATTAGTGATGCACCGATATATGGAAATTCACCGATATTCTGATAACTGATAATAAAAGACCAATACTTTGCCGATACTGATATTCCATGTCATTTCACGAAATTCAAAGATGACTGATACACCAATATGGATATCGGTACATCAGTAGGCGAGTTACCCGGCAAGGTGAGTTACTCACTCAGGCAGGACAAAAAAGCAGTCTATTTATATGAAATCAAGTTATCACATGATTGCTGCACAATGACAAAATACAAACACAATTTGGATCATTCAAAAGGTTTAAAAAACATGATTACAAAATATGCAATCTTGAATAAGCTGCTAGAAATAGAGGAAAGCTATAAACATACCTAATGATTTGAATGTATTTTTGGGCTATTATTTTAAATGAAAGGCATATACATTCTATCTAGGATTGCAGAGTTTCCCGGGTGAAGTATAGTAAGTCGGGAAAACTAAACATTCTCCACAGTAGCCAAGTTATCCGGCAAGGCAAGTAGGAAAATCCTCTGGCATTAGACAGAGTATAAACAATGAAGTAGGATGCAATTCAGTTATTCAGCTATCTATACACTGAACATATCAGATTAAATGATGTCATTCTCCTGTAATTCCAATCCTTATTCAAGTACCTGTATTAAAATGCTAACAGATCTTCAAAAACATCGTATGTATAATATCTTATTTCATATCACTATATAGCCTTGAGTCTTGACAAAGGTCTAGCAAAGTGCCAATGTCAAAGGCAATTTAATATTGTCAAATTTTTAATATTAGTGCGTAAATTAGTACGGAATTCACAACAATAGATTTGAATTTATATTTTAATCTTTCGTCCCTTGCCTGAAAGCAACATTTGCATGTTTTATATGCAAAACGAACGCGGCAAATTCAAACATTCAATGGAATATTTCCACACTTCGCTCAAGTAAACATTCATAATCACTACATTATTTCGCAATGAATATGTTTAATTAAATAACAAGTCAAATATACAATTATTCTTACCTGTGGTATCTGAACAACATTTTAAGGACTTTCTGATGCTTTTCCCATCGATATTTGCCATTTAAATTGCCTTTAATTCCATTTAATATGATTATTATAAAATTTTTCACAAAAATGTAAAACGACGCTATCCCGCGATGCTCTGCGTTCTAAAAGGTAAACTAGGTACCAGGCATTTAGTAAATACGCGAACTATGGCGAACTATTCCTGCTTGGATAAAAATTCCGGAGGGCAAAAATTCTCTTCAACGACCAATAAAACTGAAACGAGCTCAAATTTTGGAAACGAAATAAAAACAAAGTGACTATATTACCGGCAGCCGGTCTAACTCTCAAAAGGTTAGGGTTAGGGTTAGGGGTTAGGGTTAGGGGTTAGGGTTAGGGGTTAGGGTTAGGGGTTAGGGTTAGAGAAGGGTTTGGGATTGGGGATCGGTTTATCTATCTTATACTGAAGATTCAACTTTAACTATATAGTCAATGTACTGCCGGCCATTTAGTGTTTGATCAACCGTGAGCTGCCGGTCATATAGTTTCTTCAATTCGAAACTACAAATTTACCTGACGCAATATGATATACGTTGTTCTAAGTTTTGTTAAGATATAAGTTGTCCTTATATAAACACTAGCATTTTACATTTTCTTGCTTCGAAAATTTTAAGTAATAATGTCTTACTATTTTATATTTTTGTATTTTAAGAATTTCATTTCTTGTCTTATTACAAACATATTCTTACAAACATATTATTAAAGTAAGAAAATCGTATTTTCTTAAGAAAATGCTTTCGCGTTAACTATAAGAAATTATAAGAAAAATTTTCTTATTTTAAGAAAATGTTTTCTAATTAAGAAAATTTTTTCTTATCTTAAGAAAAAGATACCTTGGGATTCAAAAATTTCTTATTTCAAGAAAATTTTTTCTTATTAAGAAATTTATTTTCTTATTTTAAGATTTTTTTCTTAAATTAAGAAATTTTTTTCTTAATAAGAAAATAATTTTTTGCTGTTTGCTGTGTATATATATATATAAATATATATATATATATATATATATATATATATATATATATATATATATATATATATATATATATATATATATATATATACATATATATATATATATATATATATATATATATTATATAGCCTATACTCTATAGGTTAATTTACTCAGGTTGTACTATAAAATACCTAAATCGGGCCTTTAGTTATTTTAATTAAATGGACGCGCTCAATCGAGCTGCTAGTCTTTTTACCAGTTAATCATCAAAGACAAAGCCGCGTTTTGCCACTTTCCCAAAATGCACTGAAAGCTTCTTTTGATCGTAATTTTCAACGATAAATATAAAACCAAAAAGGAAGCAGAAAGAGATGTAACTCTTAGTCTCGCAGTTCCTTCACATATAATGCGCATATTTCAACCTTATTCCTTAACAAATCATAAAACAGGCAGCCTGAGTGAACGCCTTATAGCAACGTTTCTAGACGACTATAATGTCATGCAGTATATTCGTGAAATGTACTATACAAAGTGAACTAAATGTAAATACAGACATGCAGTATGGCGAAACACGAATTATGCTTTAACGTTATTATTAAACATTCTTGTTAAATATACAGTCTATAGTCCAGATATAAAGAATGTAGCCTATAACAAGAAAGTGATGTACTTCCACGAATCGGCCTTATGATCGGAGTGGGGTTTACCCAAGGGCCAAGGCCATGCAAGCCTCTGTGTATACAGTCGACAACAAAGTCGTTTCGTTTTTGAACACTATATAAAGAAACATGACGCAGCATGACTATATAATTGGGATGATATTCCCCTGTTCTTGGAATACCAGTTCTCTTTCGTTGTTGATGAACTGAATTGTCATTGAGTAAAAGATTCACAGAACAGCTTAACATGACGTCACATTTGGCGCAATATAAGCTGACTTCGTATACTTCTATTTCTCAGTAATTAACGTTCGTCAAGACATGGTCAAGACTAGACTCCATTTTGTTATTGAGCTGGTATGTCGCGTGATTAGTATATTTTCAAGGTATGTTATTATTGCATCATGAACATTTTATGATACATTAGCATAGTGATATGTTCTATTATCTTCACCATGCATGAGTCAAAGATCGATCCCGATGGAAGTACACAAAATTAAGCTGTCCGATGCCAACATACCAGCGATATAAAGCTAATGAGTACAAAATTAATGCGCTATTTGCGGCAGCAATAATTTCATACTTAAATTAAGCTATGGATTAGTGACTCAGTCTCAGATAATCGTATCTGCAGGCGTAGTGATAGAAGCACTGTTTTTGAAAGCCAGTTTGTTAAATTATTTACTCAAACATTGCCTATTTGAAACAACCGAAGACGAAGTTGGGCTTTGTGCATGGCAACGCCGCGTGACAATTTATTTTGATTGTACCTATAGCTACAGTTCAATCTGCATGGGGATAAGAGTAGTTTCAGAATGCAGCAAAGAGACTGTTTTGGAACTTTCACTTTGATTTTTCTACACTTGTTTTCTTGCGGTCTATCTGCCATCATCGCGGCTATAAAGTATAAGGCCATGTAATATATATCATTATATCTGCGAATATCTTCCTGCATTTTGATACACACGGTTTATATACGCTAGTGCATGGCAGTATAAACAGTGTACATGCTGCATGCATGTATATATACTGGTTAAAATATATATCCTACAGCATGATAAATTAGCTCAGCATCGATGTATATTAATATAGCCTACTCTCACATTTGTTAGACCAAGAGTCAATTAAAGATCAATAATAAAGTTGATCAATCTTGAAGGTTTATGTTTGACGAATTTGGTGTGCGCATGCATGCATGTTTTAAAAAAATAAAACTTCAGTGCCGCATCATTCCCATTGCCATTCCAAGCCAGAGCTATAGATTAAAGTAAAGCAGAGTAAAGGAATGTTTAAATTTAATCTGTAGCTGTTCCATGAATCTGTTGCATATAGACGAATTATTACGGCAAAAAATAAAACGAGTTAGTCTTCATGTCTTATACTGTTATATATATATATATAGACTTCATCATGCATCAATGTTGCGATGGCCATGACCATGGGTGTTATTTATTCCCGTAACTGGGGCTATATATCCAGTACTGATTAATAGTATTTTAGTTCGTCTGTCATAAAATAGGTCGGCCTAAATACCGGCGTCCGCAGCTCAAACTGATTTTAAAGAACTCGGAAATAGACAATGCATGAATATATGGAGTGGTATATTTTAAAACTGGACCGACTGCGCTTTAATTCCTCCTCGAATTCCTCCGTTAAAGTCGCGTTTTGTCACTTTCCCAAATACACTGAAACCTTCTTTTAATTGTAATTTTCAACTCTATGAAAATCAAAAAGAAGAAAAACTTTCAAGAGTGTTATAAGTAAAACAGTTTACTTTCTGCAGCGCTCTCCTCGCGGATTTTCAGTATCACTGATTTCAACAAATCAGACAACAAATGCAGTACTCAGTATAGGCTGAGACCGAGTGAATGTTTACATACATGAGCATACAACCTTTTTACACAAGAAATGTCCGTTCATTTCGTGGCATTTTAATTTTATATAATAGTAATCTCTTTCGGTTTCGGATTTCTTAACAATTTTGTCGCTAGCTATATATATATATATAAAGTATAGGCTATATTTACAAGAAAAAAATTCTATACCTTATTTTAATGTAAATACAGACAGTATCGAGAAATGCGAATGTTATTAAACATTTTTGTATACTATAGTCCAGATAAAGAATGTATTGTATATTACGCGAATTAGTTTTATGATTGCAGTGCATTCCATGCATGCCGACCAAACCTCGATCTTTGTATACATGCAGTCAACAACAAAGTCGTTTCGTTTTTGAACACTATAAAAAGAAACATGATTGCAGCATGGACTTGCGATATTCCTGTTCCTGGAATACCAGTTCTCGTTCACGCTTTATTTTTGTTGATGAACTATAAGAAAGAGCTTTACAGAGAAGAGCTTAACATGACGTCACATATGGCTCAATATAAGCTGACTTTGTACTTTCTATTTCTCAGTTATTCTGACAATCAACGTTCATCACTACATGGTAAAGACTCCATATTGTTATTGAGCTGATATGTCGTGATTATTTTCAAGGTATGTTATTATTGAACATTTAATGACAAGACTGATAAATTAGCATATATAGTGACTATGTTCTATTATCTTCACCATGCATGAGTCAAAGATCAATCCCGATGGAAGTACACAAAATTAATGCCAACATACCAGCGATAAAAAGCTTTACTCCTTTAGCTCAGTACAAATGCGACATAAAAAGATTATAGTGACTCAGATAATCGTATCTGCAGGAGTGGTGCATGCATGCAAGCAGAACTGTTTAATATAGGAAAGCCAGTTTATTTATATATATATATATATATATATATATACCGGGTGTCCCAAAAAAAAGTACTCCTGTTTGATTTATAATAACTTCTAAACAAGTAAAGCTATCAAACAGAAACAACTTGCATTACATATAGGAAAGACTAACTTAGATTTTGATATGTTACAGCTATATTTTACTTGAAAATTCACCGAGATATTAATCTTCAAAATCGGGAGCATATTTTCGGATGTCTCTAAAATTAGCGAAAATCGGCACATCAAATATAACCCCAGCGTTTCTTTGTTTAATGACATATCAGGCTAACTTGTATTTCAACGAATTGTCGTTAGGGTTTGTATAAGGGACATGGCGTAGATTTAGACATCTTAACATATATGCATGTTAAAGTCTTAGCTCATGCAGTTTCCTGAAATATGAATGTTCGAAATTATTCAAGTATTTAATAGGTCTTTACAAACTTAAAGGTACATGAAAGACCACTAAGGCATGCAGGCTTAAATTTTTCTTAAATAGCCTAATTTTTTTATGTTTTTCATGGGTTAAAAACGGAGTTGATTATTTCTCGGTTAGAGCAGGAAGGATATTATTCTTTAATGAAGGAAATAATATTGCTTTTTGCAAATACACATCACAGTATCGACGCTACTATTTTGTTACGTTTTGTTCCAAAAATGTTGGATGTCTCTGGGGAGTTGCTTGTTATGACTTATGGAGTTGTATGGTTTGATTGTGTTTCATTCTCAGTTTATTCTGAACTTAACAAGATAAACAAGATTAAGAAAAGGCAAAAGAGTTTGTGTTTTCTTAACTTTGAAGAAGTTAGAAGAGCTTCACAATTCTATTGTGACAGCATGCCCTAATTCAGAACTACGAACGCGGATATTCATGACGATCCTTCGCGATGCAGTGGTCTCATGAAATAAGGAAACGTATTCGTGCTATAGGAACACATGCACACGGATTTCGGACAAATAAATCTTGCTTGTATTTTGTAGATAATAATACTTTGTTTCATAATAAACAATTTGTCAAATGTCATTTATTTACTGGTAATAGTGCATGTTTCAGTCGGGCAAATGTTGATTAATATTTGATACGCCGTTTTTTGCATATTTCAGACACATCCAGAAATATGCTCCCAATTTTAAACATTAATATCTCCGTGAATTTTTATGTGAAATACAACTCTAATATATCGAAATCTAAGTTAGTCCTTTCTCTATTTGATGCAAGTTATTTCTCTTTAAAAGCTTTACTTGTTTAGAAGTTATTACGAATCAAACTGGAGTACTTTTTTTTGGGACACCCGGTAGAATAAATTAACTATATATAGTATTGCATGAAAGTATCATTTTTTCTATGGGAAATAACATTTGTTAGGTTAGTGTATATAGAACCTCGCCTTGCCGGGTAACTCGCCTCCATATAAACAGGCCCTTATTTAAATAGTTGTAAAAGTGCACGTGAATACTAGTCAGTTTTAATTAAATTAATTAAACAATTTTGAATGCTAACGGCTTATATAATATATTGAATTTACAAGAGTATATTGTTGCTTAATATTTTTAATTATTTGAATTTGTTTTAACTATAAAACGTATTGTTTTTAGTACCGACCTCCCATATGGCGGCAAGGTTATCGTTCCAATAATAAAAGAATTCGAGATATATATATTATATTCATTAGCTCAATGTGTTGGTGAGTCATTTGTCCTTGTTTTCGAGCCATCCTAAATCGATTGTTTTGCAGTTTTATCCCAGACAGCTAAAGCAGCCTCTTCACATTCGTCTACAAAAATTACAAGATAGTGCAACGTCGAACAAAACGATTTGACCATTTTCACTGTTGGAGTAGACTCGAAGATTCCTCCAAGTGTTAGTGCCGATGTTTTGGGCAAAATAGGTGAAGCCAAATCCGTAATTGAATGAATGCAAAGCTTTTTTACAATTTCCCAGTATTTTCTATCCAGCAAGGCAATCTCTTCTAACCTTCTGTCGTGGAGACCAAACTGTCTGTAGTATATGGTGCATGTTCCTGCTATGAGCCCAGCGTTAATGACACTTCCCACTACCGGAACAGGAATTGTACCAGTGGCCGCTGAAACAAGTGCCACTGCAAAAGCTGAAGCTAATAATATTTCAAGAAATAATAGGAGTATTAGCATCGTGCCATATCATTCGCTATAAATTAGTATAGGCCTAATATCGTGCACAGATGAACTTGCGAGTCTTAGAAGTCAATTATAAGATATTATATCTGAAACAAAATACGTTTAAACATGAAAACCTTGAAAGAGCTCTGAAAACCAGTTGTAGTTTCTAGCTAATGATATATACCCTGAACAACGTAGCAACTTACTACATGAAAATTAAATTGAAATTATAGCTACAGTAAGTATGGAATTACCGTCAACGAATATAATTTTAACAGTCAATAATCGGCATTTATTGCAACTAGATTATTAATACCACCACACGTACAACATGTGATTAACGAGAAAGTGAATACATCTAAAAGTCGGACTGGAACTTAAGCGATGTCTACCTTTAAGAATGTTCGCCTTTCTCTTTAGGCATTCACGTGTTACACTTGATAGGGAAAGTATTAAGCTCTCTCTTTGACGAACAGGTAAAACGACGCCGATGGCTGCAATCAAACGGTTGAAGTCCCATTTGTCTTTATCGTAGTTACTAATCAGGAACAGCTCTTTTTCACTGGATATCAAGTCTCTTACATTATCCATCAAATTGCTTCTGATTTTTTGCAACATTGCTGCTTCGTTGATAGGTGCTTTTCCTTTTTTAGGCGCAAGGTCGACATCGATCTTTGTGCGAATAAGAAAGAACGATTTGCCAATTTCTTTCACTTTCTTTGCCAATTCCAAGTCATTTTTTGTAAAGCGAGTAGCAGTGAAAATGAGGAAGGTATCGTAAGTCTCCAAGCCAACTTTTTCACAGTAGGTTGGAAGATCAGGGAAGTTCGGTGTACCGATGCCAGGTAGATCCACGAAACTAATCATTGGGTTCTCAGGATGTTTGTATTCCGTTGGCTCTGTCGTTGCTTCAATAACATCAACTTTCGCTGCACCTTTATCGTAGTCGTCATCATCAAGTCTACGCAAGAGAGTTAAGCATCATATAATACGCGTTCTAAATACATAATATTTTATTTATAAAACCTTGCTTTCTATCTACAGTCACTTTCAAAAAGTAGTTATTGGGACAGTACACATGCAGTTTTACACTGTAAGTCGATCTATACATGCAGTTTGTTAAACACATGCAATACAGCACGCTTCCCCTCTGCGGGCCCTCCTCAATCAATGTTGCTTTCTTAATTAAAGTACCAAAACGCATCAAATCTGGCGAAAAATAACACACAACATTGAATAGTGGGCTGGCAGGATCGACGTTTGTTCAAATTGAAGATTTTTGTGGCATCTGTCCCAAGACATTTTAAACTGATATTATCTAGCTTTCGTCGTTCCTTCTTACCCTCCTTTCTTTTTTGTCACATTTTTGATTTCTTAATTCTTTTCTCCTACTCCTTCCGTATACATGAAAACTACATACATATACATCATATACATATATATACATATACATACATATACATATATATTTATATATATATATATATATATATATATATATATATATATATATATATATATATATATATATATATATATATATATATATACGAGTAGGTTTGTGTATACGAAACGCAAAGAGTGCTCAATATCATAAAGATAGAGCAAATGTAGAATTTCGCTTACCTCAAAATTCCGACAGTCTGTTTCATCAGTAAAGAATCATCAGGCGGTACCGCCTGATGATTCTTTACTGATGAAACAGACTGTTGCGGAATTTTGAGGTAAGCGAAATTATATATATATATATATATATATATATATATATATATATATATATATATATATATATATATATATATATATAGTACAATCTGCAGACATGCATGTTTCAGCGTTCAACGCCTCGTCAGTGCAGCTTGGTACACGTCTAGATACGTGGACACTCGTATTAATACCCCATGAACTTGCTCTCACCAAGGCATGTGGTACAACACGGTGACTCAACGCATCCAGACATGCGCAGAGCGTAATGGAGCCAGAGTGCTCGAACGACCACAAGGGAAGTGAGCTTTGCATTATCGCTAATAGACATCCATTAACAACTCCGCAAAGTGCTCAACAACACCGAAGTGAAGGAG